CTTTTTGTTGTTGTTGTTTGTTATGCCTTTAGGCCATTGGGGCTCCTGGGGTGTGGCGCTTGGGGCCACACGAGGATCCACCACTCACGCCACCCCCAGGATGCCCCAGTCCTCGTCGCGAGCTGCAGTTCCCTGACGCACAACCCAGGCATCAAGGGGGCCCCTCACACGCCACCCAGGCACGGTGGCGAGCCTGAGGTCCCTAACGCACAACCCCGGCGTCCGAGAAGTGTCATAACCACAACCAAAGCACTTGTGTTTTCATATTTTTGGGGCGCTATTTTGTCGTCGTTGTTATGTCATTAGGTCCCTGACGCACAACCTGGGCGCCCGAGATGTCTCTGACACACAACCCAGGCACGGCGGCAAGCCTGAGGTCTGCGACGCACAACCCAGGCATCCGAGAATTCTCAGAACCACAACCCAGGCACTTGTGTTTCCATGTCTTTTGTGATATTTGTTGTTTTCATGTGTAATGTCATTAAGTCCCTGAGGCACAACAAAGGCATCCGGTATGTCGGCAACACACAACCCAAACACGGTGGCGAGCCAGAGGTCCCTAACGCACAACCCTGGCATCCGAGATATCCCAGAACCACAACCCAGGCACTTGTGTTTATATATATGTTTTGTTCTTCGTTGTTGTCATGTGTTATGTCATTAAGTCCCTGGCGATCAACCCAGGCATCCGATATATCTCTGACCCACAACCCAGGCACGGTGTCGACCTTGAGGTCCCTGACGTGCAACCCAGGCATCCGAGATGTCTCTGACCCACAACCGAGGCATGGTGGCGAGCCTGAGATCCCGAACTCGCCGCCCAAGCATCCGAAATGCCTCCGACCCACAACCCAAGCCGGTTTGCGGTCTGATCCCTCCTGGGCTCAGGGGTCCTGGTGCCTCCTGGTCCCTCCTGGTTCCTCCTGGTCTCTCTTGTTCCCTCCTGGTCCCTCCTGGGCTCAGGGGTCCTGGTCCCTCCTGGTTTCTCCTGGTCCCTCCTGGTCCCTCCTAGTCCCTCCTGGTCCCTCCTGGTCCCTCCTGGTCTCTCCTGGTCCCTCCTGGTCCCTCCTGGTCCCGCCTGGTCCCTCCTGGTCCCTCCTGGGCTCAGGGGTCCTGGTCCCTCCTGGTCCCTCCAGGTCCCTCCCGGTCCCTCCTCGCCCCTCCTGGTCCCTCCTAGTTCCTCCTGGCCCCTCCTGGTCCATCCTGGTCTCTCCTGGTCCCTCCTGGTCCGTCCTGGTCCGTCCTGGTCCCTCCTGGTCCCTCCTGGTCTCAGGGGCCCTGGCCCCTCGTGGCCCCTCCTGGTCCCTGATCCACAACCCAGGCAATTATGTTTACATTTTTTTTTGGTTCTGTTGGCGTTGGCACTTCTTCTGTTTTGGATTTTTTTTTTTTTTTTTGTTCGGCCGTCTGCCCTGCCGGACAGCTGAGTGCCCAGTGTGCGGCTGACGACACAGAGCGGTCGGCGCACGGGTCGCGCACCTGGCACGGTACGTATGTAGCAAATCGCGCACAATCAAAGTGTGAGACATATGTCTATGTAGCGAATGTCTCTCCACGCACTTCACATGTTCTGGATGGCAGCAGGCTTGGCGACGAAGACTGCCCCGCGCATCACCGCCTTCACGTTCACGAACGCGGGCACCAGGATCGTCACCGTTGGGGTTTTATCTTTCCCACGCTGCTTGCGCCCATCCTGCTTGAACTCGCAGGAGATCTCTTGCGTCAGGCACCTCGCCTCCAAGTTCCCCACCGTGGTGTCGGCCGCCGTCGCCTCCAAGACCGCCCAGAAGGGCGACACCCCTAGGGCCTTGCCTGGCTTGAACTGGGCGAGGGGGCTCTGGATGATGTATTTCGATAGGTCGTCGCAGATGTCGTAGGCTCCGATTTCTGTCGTTACCAAGTAGGGGTGCTGCGGATGATGCGATTTTGGCCTCCTCATCTTGGCCCCCTCCGAGAAGTCGTGCACAGGTCCGTGCGGAATCAACACCACCTCGCCGACTGCGAAATCTTTCGCGGCCCTCGCCTGAAACACACACGGGTTTGAGGACTCCATGCTGTGGACCGTGATATTGGCAGCGCACCCGCTGTGTTTGACCTGCAGCTGCTGCAGGGCCGTCTGCATCCAGCGTCCAGCTCCTCGTCGGAAACGAGCCACGGACCACCCATTCCGCTGGAGGAGGCCGGTGCTCGCGCCTGCGGGGCGACGCGGCGTGGCGGCGGAGCCCGGGTCGGGCGAAAGGGGGGGATAGCAAAGGGGGGGTTTGAGAATCAGCTCACGTAGCTGATTTTCCCGGCGCCTCCCGGCGCCGGAGGCGGCTATGTATCGAGGAATGGGCCCCTCGGTGAGGCCGAAACCAGCTGCATGCAGCAAATTTCGTAACCCCCCCTTTCCCAATCCCACCCTTTCGCCCGGCCCGAGGCTGGCGCTCTGCTGCTCGCCTCCTCGGGGGCCGCCGGGCCCTTGAGCCGCGACGGCGAGAATGATGATGGCAATGCTTATGATGATGGCGATGGTGATGACGGTTCTGGTGTTCATGGCGGCGGTCAGTGCTCTGGCAGTGTCGCAACGAGGAAGTTCGAGTCGTCGTTGCGCGGGCACAACGACGACGTGCTCGAGGGGTCGGCCCCGGGGCCAGTGGCTTGCCTGAGGGCGCTGACCCACAACCCAAGCCTCAGGTCTCTGACCCGCAACACAGGCATCCGAAGTGTCCATGACACACAACCCAGGCAAGGCGGCGAGCCTCAGACGACATGCGTCCGAAGTGTGTCTGACCCACAACACAGGCATCCGAAGTGTGTATGACCCACAGCCCAGGCATCCGAAGTGTGTATGACCCACAGCCCAGGCATCCGATACGTCTCATAACCACAACCCAGGCACTTGTGCATGCATATTTTGTGTTGTTTTTTTTTTTTTGTTTTGTTGTTGTTTGTTATGCCTTTAGGCCATTGGGGCTCCTGGGGGGTGGCGCTTGGGACCACACGAGGATCCGCCACTCACGCCACCCCCAGGATGCCCCAGTCCTCGTCGCGAGATGTAGTTCCCTGACGCACAACCCAGGCATCAGAGATGTCCCTAGCACGCCACCCAGGCACGGTGGCGAGCCTGAGGTCCCTAACGCACAACCCCGGCGTCCGAGAAGTGTCATAACCACATCCCAAGCACTTGTGTTTTCATATTTTTTGGGCGCTATTTTGTCGTCAGTGTTATGTCATTGGGTCCCTGACGCACAACCCGGGCATCCGAGATGTCTCTGACACACAACCCAAGCACGGCGGCAACCCTGAGGTCCGCGACGCACAACCCAGGCATCCGATAATTCTCATAACCACAACCCAGGCACTTGTGTTTCCATGTGTTTTTGGATATTTGTTGTTGTCATGTGTTATGTCATTAAGTCCCTGACGCACAAAACAGGCATCCGGTATGTCTCTAGCACACAACCCAAGCACGGTGGCGAGCCAGAGGTCCCTAACGCACAACCTTGGCACCCGAGAAGTCTCAGAACCACAACCCAGGCACTTGTGTTTATTTTTTTTGTCATTTGTTATGTCATTAAGTCCCTGACGAACAACCCAGGCATCCGATATGTCTCTGACCCACAACCCAGGCACGGTGTCGACCCTGAGGTCCCTGACGTGCAACCCAGGCATCCGAGATGTCTTTGACCCACAACCGAGGCATGGTGGCGAGCCTGAGATCCCTAACTCGCCACCCAAGCATCCGAAATGCATCCGACCCACAACCCAAGCACGGTGGCGAGCCTGACGCCCCAAACGCGCACCCCAAGCATCCGAGATGTCTCTGGCCCACAACCCAGGCACGCACGGTGGCGAGCCGGATGTCCCTAACGCACAACCCAGACATCCGAGATGTCTCTGACCCACAACCCAGGCGCGGTGGCGAGCCTGTGGTCCCTAACGCACAACCCAGGCATCCGAGAGGTCTCTGTCCGGCAGCCCAGGCACGGTGGCGAGCCCGAGGTCCCTGACGCACAACCCAAGCATCCGAGGTGTCTCTGACCCACAACCCAGGCACGGTGGCGAGCCTGACGACCCTGACACACAACCCAAGCATCCGAGAGGTCTCCGACCCACAACCAAGGCATCTAATGGGACCATGGTCCAAGAGGATCCACGCGTCCGCGGGCAGCCAACCCCCGTCCCCCAGCGCTGTGGGACCACACTTGAATAACGAATGTGGCGGCGGGGCCGCACATGAACAACGAATGCGGCTGGACATGGGTGGAAGAACGGGCCCAAGAGATTTCACGCACAAGAGAAATTACATATGTTAGCGAGCGTGGGCCCAAAGCAGCGTGCTTTTGCAGAGTATGTGTGAATCAACGCACGCTACTTTCTTCCCCGAAGGCCCTGGCCTTCGTCATCGTAGGGAGAAGGGAGAGAACAAGGGATACCGAAGGGGACGACAGGATCGTTCAAAGGTAAACGTTCTGGGGGCAGAAGGAGGAGAGAAGGGGGAGAGAAAGGGGACGGAGGAGACACCGCCGATCATTCAAACGTTAATGCGCTCGCGCACCGCGGAATTCAACCTTGAAGTCGCGCGCCCGGGTCGCCGAAAGTCGACACGACACAGACCGAGGAGGAGGAGGAGGAGGAGGAGGAGGAGGAGGAGGAGGAGGAGGAGGAGGAGGAGGAGCCAGCGTAGAGGGGGAGTTCGTCCAAAGGAGTGCGGGTACCCTGTTTTTCTTTGGGGGGGGGGGGGGGCGGCCGTGGGAGGGGGAGGGAGGGGAGGAGAGGAGGAGGAGGAGGAGGGGAGGAGGAGGAGGAGGAGGAGGAGGAGGAGGAGGAGGAGGAGGAGGAGGAGGAGGAGGAGGGGAGGAGGAGAGGAGGAGCAGGAAGAGGAGGAGGAGGAGGAGGAGGAGGAGGAGGAGGAGGAGGAGGAGCAGAAAGAGAAGAACAGGGGAGGGGGAGGGGGAGAGGGTGACAGCGAGGGGCGGGGGGCAGGTGGATGAGTAGCCCGCTTTCCCTCCCGAGTCCTCCGTCGCCTCGAAGGGCACACCCAGCACCTGGTAGTAGTCGCTGGCCTGTGCAGGCCCCAGCCGGATCGAGTCGAGGAGCCGGAGCCGTTCGGGAACGGATCGGCCCGAGCCTGAAACGGACAGAGGATCGGATCGACGTTTGGGATCGCGGGTCGGGCTCGGACCCTCTGCAAGCCAGAGAGGGAGTCGGTTCGTGTCGGATCGTGCAGGTGCGAGGTCGCACTGTGAGATCCCAGACATCCGATGCCTTGATTTGTTTCCCAGGCTCCGTTGGCTTCTCGTTTTGAGTAGAGCATCGCCGTCTCCTCCTCCCTCTCCTCCCCCCCTCTCTTCTCCTCTTCTCCTGCTTCCTGCTTGTCTCCGGCCGATGTGTTGTGCCTCCTGCCTCGTCGTCCCTGGGGGGGCCGCGAACTGCGAGACTGTCGCCACGTCCGAGGAGAGGGGGGGGGGAGCGTGGTGGGCGACGAGCGCAGATTCAGAGTAGACCTCGCCCAGCGTGGTGGGTGCCGAGCGCAGAGTCAGATTGGACCTCGCCATCCCCCTGGGGGGCTGCGAACTACGGAAGGTTCGTCACTCTCGACGGCTGCGGGGGGGGGCAGCATGGCGAGTGCCCAGCGCCGATTCAGATTATCCCTCGCCATCCCTGGGGAGCTGCGAGCTGATTCGAATTAGACCTCGTGATCCCTGGGGGGCTGCGAACTGCGACACTATAGCCACTTTCGAGGGCTGCTGGGGGGCTAGCGCAGTGGGTATCGAGCGAAGATTCAGATTAGACCTCGCCATCCGTGGTGGGCTGCAAACTGCGACGCTGTCGCCACTTTCGAAGACTTGTGGGGTGAAGCGGAGTGATTGATGCCCTACGCGGACTCAGGTTAGACCTCACCGTCCTTGCGAAACCGTCGCGACTTTCGTAGGCTCCTGGGACGTCCAGCGGAGCGACGACTCTTTCAGATCAGACGAGACCTCGCCGTCGCTGTTGCTGCGAGCTGCGAAACTGCCGCCACGTTCGTTGTCTTCTGGGAGGTCCAGCGGGGTGATGTTTTATTTGCATCAGATGAGACCTCGACGCCGCTGGAGGCTGCACACTGCGAAACGGCCGCCACTCACGTGGGTTTCCCGGAGGTCCCGCGGAGCGTCGTCTTATTCAGATCACTCGTGGCCTCGCCGCCTAGGGGGCGAGACATTGTCGCTACTTTCGAGGATTGCTGGGAGATCCAGCGGAGTGACATTCAGACTCGATCTCGCCATCTCTGGGGGACGCAAACTGTCAACCTGCCGACACTTTCGCGTGCTCCTTGCAGGTCCAGCGGGCTGCCGTCTTAAAGGGACCACAGCTACACCTCGCCTCACTTGGAGGCTGAAAATTGCGATACTGTCACGGGGCGCCGTCTTACAGGAACCATAAATTGGCCGCGCCTCGCTGGTTCCCCGGAAACTGTGCGACGCTGTCGCGACCTTCGCGTGCTCCTGGGAGGTGCAGCGGAGTGCCGTCTTAAAGGGACCACAACTAGACCTCGCCGTCGCTGGGGGCTGCAAACTGCAAACAAAAATCATGTCTTTCGCTATTTCATGGGATGTCCAGCGGAGTGACGTCTGATTCAGATAAGATGAAACATTGCTGTCGCTGGGGGCTGCGCATGCGTGACTGTCGCGGTTCTGGTCTGCTCCTGATAATTGGGTCGCGCGGGTCTCATTTCGATATACGATGGAAGCCTGAGCTCTCAGATATCCGATGCCTGGATCTGTGTCAATACGGTGCCCCGTGAACACCAGACCCTTTTTGCCATCGTTCCACCAAAGCCAGCTTGTGAATCGTGAGCAGTTGGTCGACGGTGTCGGGTCCCGGCGAAGGCCCCCTGAGGCCCGCGACTAGGGAACACTGGGTTTCGGGATCGGATCGGATCGGGCTGTGAGCAGCCCTGCCTTTCCTGAGTGGCGAGCGTGTCCGTATCAGCGCCATCGCGGTCTGGATTCCGGGGCGCGACCCCACGGATGTGCGAACACGCGGATACGTTGCGCAAAGGGGCTCCGCGAAAAAACACCCCGTACCCGCGGGGCCGCGGCCCAGGGTCGCGGACACCCAGACCCCCGACGCCATGCTTCGTTGTCAGGACGTCGATCACCAGAGGTCTCGGCCCAATTTCAGGACCAGCTTCATGTTGAATTGTTTTGCCGAAAATACATATACAAACTATCCATCGTGATTTTGTCCATGACTCGATAGGGGCCTGGGTACGGACATGGATTTCGCCCGCGAGCCTTGCCGTCCGGCTGCGGCCGGCCGGCCATCGGGGCCGCCCCCGCCATCGGCCGGGCCGGCCGCGGCGGCGCGCCCCGCTCGGGCCAGAGCGGTGCAACGGCGCCAGAGGGCGCGGGGAGGTCCCGCGGCAGCGGGGCAGGTGGGTTGGGCACATGTCCGGCCGTGCTGCCCAGCCCTGCCTCGGTCCCCACGCCCTCCCCCCGTCTTCCTCCACATGGTCCTCCTCCTTTTCCTCCCCTTCCTCCCCTCCTTCTATTCCTCCTCCTCCTCCTCTTCCTCCTCCTCCTCTTCCTCCTCCTCCTCCTTCTCAATTTCTTCCTTCTCCTCCTCCTCCTCCTCTTCCTCCTCCTCCTCCTCCTCTTCCTCTCCTCCTCCTCCTCCTCCCCTCGTCCTCCTCCTTTTCCTCCTCCTTCTCCTCCTCCTCCTGCGCCTCAACCACAATAATCACCATCACCATCGCCACCATCATCATCACCATCATCATCATCATCATCATCATCATCATCAGCATCAGCATCAGCATCATCATCATCATCATCATCATCATCATCATCATCATCATCAGCAGCATCACCACCACCATCGCCATCATCATCAGCATTACCATTGCCACCGTCGTCATATCATCATCAACATCCTCTTCTCCTATGCTGCCCCTCCCTCTCCAAATTATCACATCCCTCCTCTTCCGCCTGTGCCTGTATGTCATCACCCTGCCTATGACACCCCTCCTTCCTCCAATCTATCGAATTAGGTGTGCGACCATGTCAGCGGCGTCCGAACAGAAAAACAAAACAGCGCAGGACACGGCGACCAATGTCCTCAATCCGGAAAAGATCTCGCACTCCACTCAGCGCGTTTACATGCCGAGAGCTGCTCAGCCGAGACACCGAACCGTCTCAACAAGTCCCCCCGCGGTAACCTCGGACCCCGGACGGGCTGAACGGGAAAGCGTGAAGACCGAGCAGGCGCTCTGCTAAGCCCACGGGGGGCAAGGCAGAACAGGTCCGCGGGTTCGGGTTCCGAAAGCGGCCCGATACGCCAGCCCCGATACGGGGCCCCCCAGGACGGGAAATCCCGCCCCAGGCACGGACCATCTGGCGCCATGTGCGATGGGCGGCCTCCCATGGCGCGGTTCGGCAGGGGACAACGCGGCGGCCCAGGCGCACCTTCCACAGGCGATGCAGACCACGCACCGGGGACGGTCAAAATAATGGCGCCCTTCCTGTCGTGCACAAAAGCAACCAGAAGCTCGCGCCCGAGAAGCTGCAGCGGCGACAGCTCGGGATCCTGATCGCCCCAGGTCGCGGAATCTGCGCTGTGGAGCACTTGCCGAGGCAACGGGCAGGGGGGGCGGCCTTCGCTGCGGCAAGGGGGCCACGCGCTTGGCCTGCTTTCCGTCTGAGACCTGTCCAGGTAGGCCCACGCAGCCGCGAAGAGCTCCTCGCGCGATCTCGACGTCCTGGAGCCCTGCTCAGACAGCGCAGCTGCGGGCGAGACGAGCCAAGCCTTTGATGCCCGACGCAACACCTGACATGTCCGGGGTGACACGCAGCGCCGCATGGCCGCTTCCCTTGCGCTCCCACGCCGGCGCCCGCCCTGCCTCCACACCGCCTCGGGCCGCGCGGCCCCTGGCGCTGGGGCCGCCGGATCGAGTCCTGGAAACGCCCGGGGCCAGATGCTCGCCCGAGGAGTCGACGAATCAAGGGTACACTGATGCGAGCGGCAGCCATCGATCGCGCCCTGGCAGTTCGAAAGACAACTCCGCAGGCTCCTTTGACACCAGCGCAGGCAAAGGCAGGTCGCAGCGTCCTCTCTCCGCCCCTCGCTCGCCCAAAGGGGGGCGAGGCCGGCTGGCGAGGCACGGGGCGCGCGCTGGAGCCCCCCTTGCTCGTCGGTCGTGGCCATCGCCCAGCCCGCCCTGAGACTGGCTTCTGACTACCTACCAGACCACCCCAACCCAACCCGAAGACCCGAATTTCGGGTGGGGGGGGTAAGGGTTCCACGCGTGTTTTTTCGATGTTTTCCGACCCCCCCCCACTAGAAATCGAGGGTAAATTTGAGCCTTCGGGTTGGGTTGGGGTGGTTTGGTGGGTGGTGAGTCATGGCCATCGCCCAGCCCGCCCTGCGACTGGCTTCGCAGTCAGGAGACGCGGCAGACCGATCCGAAACGACAATCCCGCTGAAATGCCCCAAAGCTGGGCGACGGACTAAACCACTCGGAAACGCAGGGTCGCACGACCAGAGCGGGGCAGGAGGCAAGTCCATCGGGCTTGGACCGCCGAGGCACGCCAAGCAAACTCCAGACGGCGCGGCCCCGTGATCACACTGCATCTGGTGGGTTCAGCTGGACATCGGGACTAGGAACCGCGGTGAACTCTGGCGGTGGTCGGTCCACGCCGCGCTCTGTTTCCCTTTCGAGGCCTGATGGAGGGGACTCCGCAACTAGGCAAGCGCGTTCCACTACTCGCAAAGTAACAACTCGGAAATGGCCTGGTTCTGCCGCGGGGGGGGTCACGATCCATTACATCGAGGAAGGCATTGTGGTTTTCGAGCGTTCGCGAGTAGGCACTTGGCGAGAAGTGGAAGGTGCCCGGTGAAAAAACGCGCGCCCAAGCCAGGCCTCCACTTTCTGGCGACGGAGACAAAAATGCGACGTCCGAAGGGGCTCGGGCTGGGCGCTCCGCTGGCACCCTACAACAACGCAGAAAGTCTAGCCTCCCCTCTTTCGGACACGAAGAAACGAACTGAGTCCCCCATCCGCTCCAACTCTGAGAAGGAGAAAATTCGGACATGGGCAGGCGAACGCGCGACATTCCTAGGAATTCCGTGACGCCTGAAAGCGGGGGCGTGCTCGCTCGGAACACATCTGAGGCGCAGCGACACTCAAGAACCCTCCCCAGACCATCAATGCCCACGTAGAAATCTCACTGCCATGGCGGATTTTTGCGGGGTCGATGTGGGCCCCGAGAAGATGCGGGCAACAATCTGGGACGCACTGGCGAGGTCCCTCATTTAAGAGGCTGCGTGCCAATTGGAGCCTCAGGCGGTGCGTGCCCCGACCAGTCAGACCCGCGACAGCCGCCCACCGCAAACTCCCCGATCGATAGGCGGTCCACCGCCATATCGGGCAGAGAAACTCAAACTAAGAACAACTTCGAACAATATCTAAGCCAAAACCTGCGGGAATCTTTAACCCGACACAAACTTCAAACACCTCTTCACGAGAATATCAACATCACAAAACCTCAAAACATCTCTAAGCCAAAACCTGCGAAAACCTCAGATTTTAAAAACTCTTGAAGACATGCGAGAATCTCAAACTCCAAGCCGAAACCCGGGGAAATCTCAAACCGACAAACAACTTCGAACCATACTTATATAACAACTTTCTGGAACAAGAAAAACTCGAAATGCAAACTCCGGCTTGCATGTTTGAAGTTTTCGCGGGTTTTGGTCGAGCTTGCTTATTTTTTTAAAGCTCGTCAGAGTGAGATGTTCGCAGGTTGTGGCTTGGGGATTGCTGGATTTTTTTTGAGAGCTCGAGATTTTAACAGGTTTGGACTTGGCTCAGAAATCTGTTTGGCGTTTTTTTTTCGAAGTTAAGATTTCCGCAGGTTTCGGCTTAGAGATGTTTTGAAGCCCTTGGGGAGGTTAAGTTTCCTGCAGGAGATGTTCCGAAGATGGTGGCGGGTTTTCTCGATGGGCCTCCTCTAGTATACTTGCCGAACCTCGCGCTCGGGGCCCCGAGCGGTGCACCGGGGCAATTTTTGCGCCGGCCCCCCGAAGCTTGCGCAGACGGCTTGCGCGACCAACTCCCTTGAACGGCTCGCGCATGGCCAGCGGGCCACGACGGCGCCCAGCGCCGGCTGCGCCAGTCCCGAGGTTTCGAGCGACGCCTTTCCGACGAAGCCCAGGAGACACCAATTCCGTGGCCGAGAGAAGCGCGATGGCTTGGCAGGGGGCTGAGAAAAAGCTGTTCTCGGACTCGACCAGGCGGAAGCGCGCGTCCAGGGGCGAGCCACCTGCCCACTGCCCCCAGCCGCTGGCCGACGTGGCCCACCGCGCCGATGCTCTGGGCCGACGCGTCGCCCGCGACGTTGCAGAGCGTGACCGACGGGGGGCCGCGCTGATGCCCGCAAGAATGCCGGTGCGGCAAGACGTTGGCCGTCGTCGTAGCTCGGCTGCGCGCCGGCAACGCTGCGCTGACAGGCACGTCGAACGCCGCGCTGCAGTGGTCCTGGAAGGCGGCCGCCCATGGCTCTCTGCAAAAGGCGCAAGCTGGACGCCAGACCCTAGGTTGATCCGCGCTGCCACCGCCTCGTCGCCAAGCGCCGAGTGCGAAACATAATCGTAACCTCTCTTCGAATCTGTGGAAAGCGAGCCCAACTCAATGCCGATGCAGTGACCATAGTAACCCATCAGGTCGTGCCACCATCCAGCGAAGCCCCACGACATGTCGCGAGCGCCCCGAAGGCTGCCAACCTGCGCGCGCGCCCCCACTCCTGCGCAACGTCCCGCCGCGAGCGGCCCCACGCGCGCTGCAGGCTGGCGATCGGCGCCATGGGGCGTAGCCCACCGCCCACCGCCTTCCATGCCAGCGCGGATGATCGAGGTCGGCCAGAGCTCTGCCCGCGACGGCGCCGCCTCCCAGAGCTCCGGCAAGTCCAACAAACAAACCAACAAACCGTCGTCTAGGAGCCTCCGCGACCTCGGGTTCGCGCAGTCGGGGCCGAGCCCCACGGCGCGGTTGGACTGATTCAGCGCCCGCTTCAGCCCGACCGAGCACGGCTCGGCAAGACTACCTTGTCGGCCGCCCCCGGCGCCGCAGCGGACGTCGGCGCCTCGCTGTGGAATCAGCAGCCCTGCCACTCACGCAGCAGAGCCCCCACGGCGCCCCCCCCCCCCCTTGCAGGGCTTCGCCGCGGACGCCCGCTGGGCCATCGAGCGCCGCGTGCCCCCTAGAAAACTCACGTGCAGCGCGGCCGCCTTGGAGCGTCGAGCCCCTGGTCCAAGCCTGCCACCTCTGCCGGAAGCGAGCGCGCTTCTGCTCGCCGCCACGTCGGCGTAGGCCCGA